TGGGTAATCGGGCATATATTATCGGGGAAGTCCAGATCCTCCAAGTGTTTTTGTGTGGGTCCATTTTATGCCCGTCTCCTCGCTGGCCGCCACTGTCTGTCGCACTACTCAGTCTACCACAGCCAAGAATCTGACTAGAGATGGTTGGCAGTCAACCAGCCTTGTCTTACCCTCGTCCTCACTTCGAAGGATTCCGTGAGTTTCCCACTGTGGATTACTTAGCTTGCAGCATACGACCATAGATGTTTGCGTTTAATGTCTTCTATTAATAGATGAATTAAGACATTAGGCAATGAATTGTGTTGCTGAGGAGTAGTCTTGTCGATTTAGAGGATGTAAAGTGAAGATACTCTAGTAAAATGCTAAATCTTCTGAATACCTTGCGGAGAAATATTAGTATGTTTATCAAACGATTTCTCTCTGTGAAATGTAAGATGATGCAATCTGATTGGTCTTCACTGACTCCTATCTTGTCTTAAGACAATGAGTGAAACCATAGAGCATATTGACCAATTTACCTAGCTGGGAAGTGACATCAACCTTAATGAACTGATTGCTTAGCTCACCTGGGAGGCAAAAGGGTAGTGTGGCGCTTGCTAACATGCACCATCTTGGATGCAGACATGATATACAGCTATCCATCAATACACATGTATACTGCTCAGAAGTCCCCTCTACCCATCTTTAGGAATGTGAGGTGTGTAGAAGACTTGAAGAGTCCAACTGTCTTCAACCAGATGTGTGTTTACCTGTTGAGTGGTATAATATGGTAAACCTCCAACGACTGGCGTATGAAGCTTACCGGAGCTCACTGGCAGACGTATGGAAAAAGGGCTTATTGGATGCCCTGGATGTCTGGCCCCATTCAAAAAGGCGTATGAACCGGACTCCGGTCACCGGCTGCCAATGGATAGTGGACTCCCTACTCTACTCCTACTGCCTTGTAGGTCACACTTGGTTTTGTAAAGGCTAGAGCTGCACTCTCAAACAAAAGACCGAGGGATGCTGGGGACTTCACTCGTACCCAATTCCCATGAAACTTCATGAACTCTCTTACAAACATTCGAGATGTTCATGAAGCTGGCTCATCCTCCCGTAGGAGATAGCCGAAGTAAAGTAAAAGTAGTACACGTATAGCGTTGAGTAGGAATGAGAGACCAACCGACGAAGTTGCGAAACTGTGTCAACTGAGATGACCAGGTCACGTGTTACGCATGTTACACCGCCGCCTTTCTCATGAAACAATCTTTCAGGGGATATCATATCATATCACCAGGCGTTAGGTTTTCTCTGCCTTTATGTGTACTTTTATATAGTGTGACATATTAAACTGTTACACCTTATTTGCAAATTTTCGCTTTGCAAATTCAGTAAGGCGTTCGTTAGGCGGATAAGTCAGTCACCTATGCATTTGAGCTGGTTAGGATGTGTTGCATTTATGTCGATGAGCTGAAAATTTTCTCGAGATAGAACTTCTGCTGAAAAGAAGCTTCAGTTGTGGTCAAGCGAAACTGTGCTGCCGATTGATGATTATTATTGTTTCTTTTAGTTCCTGAAAAACATAGGGCTTCAGCCGCACGTCTCCGTTGCGTTCACTTTTCTGCCAACGTTTTCACCCACCTCCACATCTACCCATATGCTTTCATCTCCTCTTCACATGATCTCCTCCGTGTCACACTCACACTGACGACCAACTTGCCGCGTCGCATTTGGATTCCACTGGAGCCATGGCCCGGCGTGTGATGGATGTCATTTGATGGTTTCCTCAGAGTATGGTTAATCCACCTCCATTTCTTCCTGCATATGTGTTACACAATCGGTTCCTGCTGGTTGGTTCGTTCATCGCCAGAGGTCCCTGTTGGTGATCTTTGCTGACTGGTCATCTGATCTTGAATAGTATTGAGTGAAGACAGCTGTTGATGAAGGTTTGTTGTTTGTTTGAGGTGCTCTTCATCACGCGTCAAGTTTCTGATCCGTATAATAAGTAGCACTGACTTCACATTGGAGTTGAAAATCCGGATCTTATTTTCATCGTAATGCTGAGTGCTGTTGATCTCCACACAGACTTGAGAGTAATGAAAGCCTGTCTTGCTTCCCCTATCCTTGCTTTGATATCCTCGTCAGTTGCGTCGGCCTGTAGTTGAAACTATGCTTTCCAGGTAGGTACGTGGGTAGGTAGGTAAATGAGGTTGTTTCTTTCCGATTTCTCCCATTTATGTTGGACTTTGCGGATGATATATGCCTGATTTCCTGCAAACTGGAAGATATGCAAGTGAAAAGCAACAAGCTGGCAGAAGAAGCATCAAAGAAAGGACTTCAAGTGAACATAGATAAAACAGAAGTGATGAAGATTCCTGGCCAACACCAATAGCAACAACAACAACAGACAACAATCAGCATAAATGAGAGAAATCTGAAATAAACAAGCTCTTTTACCTACCTGGGAAACATCATTTCAACTACAGGTGGAACTGTTGAGGCTATCTGAGCGAGAATTGGGAAAGCAACACAAGCTTTCATTACTCTGAAGTCGGTGTGAAGATCAACGGCACTAGTCAGCATGAAAAATAAGATCCGGATTTTCAACTCACATGTGAATTCAGTGCTAATATACGGATCAGAGACTTGCACTGCGCGTCATAAAGAGCAACTCAAACAAACTACAGGCCATCAACAGCTGTCGTCGCTCAATACTCCACTCAAGATCAGATGGCCGGCCAGAAAAGATCAGCAATAGTGAGGGATCTCTGGCAATGAGCGAACCAACCGGGAACCGATTGTGAAAGAAATAGGCAGGAAGAAATGGAGATGGATTGGCCATACGCTGAGGAAACCATCAAGTGACATCACTAGACAAGCCATGCCTGGAGTGAAACCTGAAAGGGAAGCGGCGAGTTGGTCGTCAGTGTGAGGGTGACTTGGAGGAGGTCATGTGAAGAGGAGATGAAAGCATGTGGGTGGACTTGGAGCGGGGTGAAAAAGTTGGCAGCAAACCGAAGGCAATGGGGACGCGCAGCTGAAGCCCTATGTTCCTCTAGGAATTAAAGGATATAATAATAATACTAATACTACTAATAGTAATAATAATGCTGATTGTTGTCTGTTGGCGCAGACTCAGTCACTCACGAATAGAATACCACTTTATACTAGAGAGAGGGAACGCACATATCTGTGGTCAAAGACAATTAGCCTTTTCATATCTCCCACTTTCTATGACCATGTCTTACAAGCATTGAAGTCTGACGGAGCAAACTGTTACGTGGTACGCACACATCCTATGCTCGATAACTGGATATCTGTGTACCAAATGTGTAAGCATTTCTGTATCTGTGTTGAGATTTCGTCGTTACCAAAATAGGTCTAAAAGTAAGCGGAGTGGTTAACACGCTCTATAACTAACATCACTTTACCATTTAACAGGATCAAATCACATGCCGAACAGTCGAAGATTCCTACTCCTTGAGGTGTTTGAAAGACCCTGAATTTTGCATGCTATATTTCACTAATAAAGCACTTCATATAGTTCCATATTAGTTTGTTTACTAGATGTATCACACAGTCAGTGAAACAGTATTATTTACTGGATGACGTTTTGAACACAATTTATTTATTGTTCATAATCATATCAATTGTAATCACACGACTTCGAAACTTGAGTTTTATATTTTTCTTTGTTCTCTCCTATTTGTCGTTGGTCGGGTAATAGAATTTTCCAGATATCTGGGTGAACAGATGTTGAATCATTCCTATTACACGTATTTTCATTCATTTGATTCGATAAACAAAGCTTCTGTTATCAATCTCTCCCTCCACCTTGTGACATTAGATTTTAAAACTGTCAACTGATGCCATCATCCTATTGCATGGTTGTGTGTATGTGTGTGTGTAATCGCGTGTAGTGAGCGGTATAGCTGAACTATTCTCTAGATTTCTTATCTGATTTGGGTCAATCAATCTCGATTTTGCCAAATTTTTGTACTGCTCCGCTGGTGTTGCTTGTGTTGCTCCACAGGAATGGTCCTTTAACCGACCACGCTTGTTTTCTAATTGAGTTTGTGGGTTTGAATGCTGGCCACTTTTATTGCTGCCTCCTTTGTTAAGAATTCTGCGTAAGGCCTTCGAGGTTCCTTACTTGTTTGGAATTACTACTGATGATTTAGATTCCTTATTGTGTTGGTGTTGTCTTGCGCACATTTCACTTGCATGTCATTATTATTATTATTATTATTATTATTATTATTATTATTACTATTACCACTATCACTACTATCATTGTTTATTTTATTTTTACATTTCCCTACATATTACCTGAATAATTTATCAGGGTAATTATTAAGTTTCAAGGCTTCTCTTATATGTACATATGTACAAATACTTAGGTCAAACTACTAGTAGAGAACAGGGTCAGTCAGACTATCCGAACATAAAAACTTAGCAAAATCTAGATTGGTTGATCCGAATAAGATAAGAAATCTAGAGAATAGTTCAGCTATACCACTCACTACATTCAATAACACACAGTCACACAATACGATGGGTTAATATGACAGTTTTAAAATCTAATGTCACGGGGTGGAGAGAGGGAAAGATTGATAACAGAAGGATTGTTTATCGAATCAACTGAGAGAGAATACGTGTAGTAGGAATGATTCAACATCTGCTCACTCATATATCTGGAAAATTCTACTACCCCTAATGACGACGAGAAATGGGAGGGAACAAAGAACACCATAAAACTCAAGTCTCGAAATCGTGTGATTACAATTGATATGATTATGAACAATAAATTGTGTTCTAAACTGTGTCATACAGTAGATAATACTGTTTCTGTGACTGTGTGATACATCTAATAAACAAACTAATATGGAATTACTTACTGCCACCACAGTGTCCAAGTTTTACACACACACACATCTATTAATAGTTTATTTAGTGTTTATAATTCTTCTCTCATACTCCCTTTTCTATTATTTTTTTTTTAACTTGTCGTCTTCATTTAGCATTTCGATGTTGCTACTGTCATCACTTTAATCCAGCACGTCGTACACGATTAAACACTTCACTGGCATCAAGAAGTATCGACAAATTGGATCCAATCAATTCACAGTCAACACCTTGTCTATTAAGTAAACCTAGCCCTACAGGATTACTGGAAACAATGACCGAAGAAGTGACAACAATAATAACCTCAGATGATGATGACCATCACCTCATGATGAATAAGCATAGCGATGACAGTGGTCGAATTGTTCATTCTCCTCGGCATACTATCACTGCTAATGGAGACGATGATAACGATGACAGTAATGTTGAGAATGGTGAAAGTGATAGTAATAAAAGTCATCTGACAAATGGATTCAACAAAGACGTCGATTTAAACAATGCTAACAGCAGTAGTAATAGTAATAATGCGGTTGAGGTGAATCATCATGATTGTGATAATTTAAACAAGTCTACTATACATATGAGAAAAGTAGATTGATTATCTCAGGGAATTTTGTCGCCAAACTACAAATTTTGGTGTTGTTGTTGTAGTTGTGTGATGTGTCCTGTGTTGTGTTAATTCGTTACTTTCGCCTTTCTCTCTGCGTTTTCTTTATATTTCACAGTCTCTCAGTGTGTGTGTGTGTACATGTTTGCTTTACTTCTTTATTCTACGTAATTCTTTATTATTTTCTTGTTCTTTATTAACGAACACACTGTCGTTATAATTGCTGCCTTATTTTCGTTTATTGTGTCTATGAACAGGCGTGTATTTATTGATGAGGTTCCTCCTCGACTTACTTATATATGTATACACACAAACACTCAAAGTCTGTATGTTTTTGTCTGTGTTTTTCGTCTACATATGTATCTACCACTACTACTTCTATTATTATGATTCGAAAAAAATAGAAAAGAGAAAAAAACGGTCAGCTGTAAAATAAATTTTTCCAGTGTCTTGTTTTCTCTCCTTCGAATCATTATATTTCTTCACCTTAAAGGCGGCATTCGATTCTGTTGACCGAGAGGTACTCTGGCGATGCTTGGTTATAAAAAGAAAGAAACGCCAAGAAAATACATTGCACTGATCAAGCCACTCACTCTACTCGAAATCATGCAGTCAGCCAGGTGAGGGCTTACGACGAGTTGTCATCTAAAGTGGTGTCCGTCAGGGATGCCCATTATCCCCATTTCTATTCAATTTCATCATAGATTATTGTACTAATGGACTTAACCCCCTAACTCACTTTAAAGACTCAGGGACTGACTTGTTATCACCATGGAATAATCTCGTTGACTTAGTATATGCAGATGATATAGTCCTTCTAGTCGAGGACGCTGACAAAATGCAGAGTCTTCTGAACACCTTGAGCTGCTATTTGCGAATGTTTGGCTTGCGATTCGCTCCCCCTGCGAAGTGTAAGATGATGTTACTCCTAGTTTATAAAAGCGAAGTGAAGTGGTAGAGCACGTTGACCACTTTTCTTATTTGGGAAGTACCATCGGTCAGTGCCAACGGGTTGATCTCTGAAGAAGTCTTAGTACGGATACAGAGGGCTAGTTTCGCATATGCTAGTTCACGCCGCCTCTGCATTAGTAGACGTGATATCCGGCTGGCTATCGATCAAAGGGCGGGTGTACTGCTCAGTAGTCCGCTCCGTCCCCCTTCATGGCTGTGAATGGGAGATGGCCATTGAGAGTGGAAGACATGAAAAGGCTAGCTGGCTGTCTTTGATCAAAGGCGCCTGCGCTCTATCTCCCGTGTGAAGTGGTATAATAAGGTCAGCAATATTGAGGTTAGTCATTGATCGAGTACTAGGTGGGCGATAGGGCGGGCTGACTGACATAGGGTCAGTCTGGAAAAGAGCTCGCGTCGGTCAAACCGAAGCATGGCACCAGTCAATGGAATCCACAATACTTAGTTTAAGTCACGTAGGAAGGTGTAGACTTCCTGGTTGGGGTCTTCGGGACTGTAAAAACCAATGATAGCTGGAGAGAATTGGTGATATGGCTCCAAATCACCCTCAATGGCTGGCGAAGATGTATCCACACCCTGTGACTTATAATTTCCAATGAAACTATTGTTCTTCGTTATTACTATTCCTTTTGTCTCATATCTCTGTCTACTGTCTCCATAATTTGCATTTCTTCTACTTTGTTCTGTTGCTTTGTGTGCTTCAAGGAGTGGAGTGTGGCGGCTTGAACTGGTGCACATCGGTGCAAAGTTCGATGTCGAAAACAGACAGATTACAGTCAGGAATGGCTAATGTCCCCAAATCTGTTTAAATTCATCATAAATGTATGTATGAACGGACTTAGCCTTAACTGTTGGCTTCAGCGAATCAGAGACTGGCTTGTCACTATTAGGGAATAATGTCGTTGATTTAAAATATGAGGATGATATGTAGTACTGCCTGCTGCTGAATGAAGACTGACAAAATGCAGAGATTTTTTGAACAAATTGAGCAGAAAATTTTGAATGTTTGACATACGATTCGCTCCTGTTGAATGTTGACTGGACTACATCGACTGTTTAGTTTAAAGATAGGGAATGAAATGGTAGAGCGTGGTGACCATCACTTCAATTACTTGGGAAGCTGCGTGTCAGCCAGTCCCAGTGGGTTGATTGTCTACGAAACCAGCACGGATATAGAAGGTTCGTTTGGCACTTACTGTCCCAGGTTTAGTAGAGGTGATATCTGACTGGCTGTCGATCAAAGGACGTGCCCTCCTTTATGACTGGCTGTGCGTAAGACATGATCATTGAAGATGGAAGACATAAAAAGCCGGAGTAGCTGTCTTTTATCATAGGTATCTGCGTTCTGTCTCCCGTATTAGTTGATAAGTATAGTAGGCTGAGTAATATTGAGGTGAGGCATCAGTTGAGTCGTAGATTAGGAGAGAAAATCAATCGACAAGGTTGTGAAGTTACATTGACTGAGATGGTTAGGTTATGTGTTACACATGGTAGCCTGGCCATCACCTGCTTTCTTCGACGGGTAATGTTAGCCGCTGAGATAGGATGGATCAGGTTGGAAAAGAGCTAGTACATTGTGGTTAGACCGAAACATGGCTTCATCAGTCAATTTAAGCCAGTCAGTCACATAGGGAAGTGTAGGCTGCTTGGTTGGTTGGTGTCTTTGGGATGGTAAGAACTAATGAAGGTTGGAGACAATTGGTTCTTAATGGTTGAGATGTATCCACTGTCTTAGGTCAGCCGTTAGAGAAATGTCTCCTCAGTAAACACTGAGGTCCTGTGAGTTCTTTGCAGTTTATCCACTCTCCTTCAACGTATTATAATGGATGGTTAGTGAAGTGATATAAACACGAAATTAAAGAGTGCCTATATAAGCAATGCAACGCTTTGTGGTCAGAGATAGAAGTAGCTTGTTATCCAAGCAACCTTCACCAAGTAGCAGGTAGTAGAGTGATTTGAAGTTTTAATTCATGAATAATCTCCATCCAGACATTAATGAAAACGAAATACATAGTTCAACGAAAAGTCTCTTCGCAGCGAATTCATTTTCTTAGCTATACAATCGCAAATACATTCAGCCTATTTTGTGTGTATGTGTAGATTTTGTTTGTCCAACAAAAATACAATTCAAGTGTTGGTTTGTAGGGATTTGATTAGTTACAGGATTTCATCATGAGCTGACATTGGTTAGAGAAGCATTGGAAAACCTGGGAGAACTGGACAGCTATTTCGTCCTAGTTTAGGACTCTTCAGCAGTACGCACCTGCCGGGATTCGAACCCAGGACCTTCCGGTCAGCTCATGGTGAAATCCAACAAATACAATTGGTTATGCTCATTTAAACTAAGCGTGTGAAAACTAATAAGTTTTGGGTGGAGTTACGCAATACAAAACGGTCAAGATTTATTGCGTGTTAATGAAACTAGGATAGTAACAAAGGTGATGAGTTGCCACAAACAGTTGTTAGAAAGGAGTTTTGTAATAATATGAATAGATTGATGGTTGAGTTCGACTCAGGATGCAAAGTAGAGAATGTGAAATTACATGAGAGTTTCAAATGAATACACGAGTTATAAGCAGCTAAAATTCTTGTATATTCATTTAGGACTGTTGTGTAATTTCGTATAAACTACTTTGTTTCTATGTGCATTCTGAGTACAACTCAATCATCAAACACACAAATTTCTAACTTCCTTTATATAATTCCATGATTATTTCAATTCATCGCTACACTTGATTGGTAGTAATACTTTCCATATTTGCGGTATGAGTAATGAGTCATTCCTATTGCATGTGTTGGGTGTAGACGTGATGAACCAGGGAAGATTCAGTAATCAACCTCTCTCTATCTCCACCTACCTATATTACTTACTTCTTAGAATTGTAACCCTCTCCCACCTACCCTATTGTGTAGTTGTGCTTTGTTAATGCATACAGTGCAATAAAGTACTGAGCTTTTTCTAAATAACTTATCTTTGCGGGTGGGGTCAACCACTCTTACCTGAGCTAAATTCTTATCTTCTCAGAAACAATCTGACAACCCCACCTGATCTACTGGTTTGACCTGTGTAGTTGACCTAACTCACAGTCATTGCAGGTTATTCTGTAAATTATGTTATTTTGTCTAATTAGGTCAATCAACAGGGCCATTAAACCTACAGAGCTTGTCCTATCTGAGTGAGTTTGTAGGTTCAAATGCTTCTAGCCTAATTTCTGCTTTATTGAGAATCCTACACAGCGAAGGTCTCAGATATCCTCTCCTTATATGGTGGAACCAGTGTAGATGCCTTATATTCTCTTATCTATGTTATCATCATTTATTCATCACCTGTCCACCCAGATATCTGGAAAATTCTGCTTCCCCTACGACGACAAATAGGAGAGAACAAAGAAAACTATAAAACTCAGGTTTCCAAGTCGTGTGTTTATAATTGAAATGAATATGAACAATAAATAAATTGTGTTCGAAACGTCATCCAGTAAATACTAACATATCTAATAAACAAACTAATATGGAGTTACATACTACCACAGTGCTCAAGTTGTACACATATTTATTAATTATTATTATTATTTTATCCTTTAATTCCTAGAGGAACATAGGGCTTCAACTGCGCGTCCCCATTGCCTTCGGTTTGCTGCCAACTTTTTCACCCCGCTCCAAGTCCACTCACATGCTTTCATCTCCTCTTCACATGACCTCCTCCAAGTCACCCTCACACTGACGACCAACTCGCCGCTTCCCTTTCAGGTTCCACTCGAGGCATGGCTTGTCTAGTGATGTCACTTTATGGTTTCCTCAGCGTATGGCCAATCCATCTCCATTTCTTCCTGCCTATTTGTTTCATAATCGGTTCCCGGTTGGTTCGCTCATTGTCAGAAATCCCTGTTGCTGATCTTTTCTGGCCGGCCATCTGATCTTGAGTGGAGTATTGAGCGAAGAAAACTGTTAATGAAGGTCTGTAATTTGTTTGAGATGCTCT